GGAGGTTATTAGAGTGGTGCCGCGTTTATGGCTTGACCCGGAAATATTTTATGTCCCCGATGAGCTCCGTAATCGTTCTCATCGCACTTTTTTTTTTCTATATTATTATATTGCCTTGCGAATTTGTGTGTCTAGAGGGGACAATTTTGAAAAATTTCAAGACGATAACTTTCTAAATTGAAAAATAAAATAGTAAAAACATGCCTTTTTAATAAATCGCGTTCTCGAGTAATTGAATTAGATAAACGTATACATATTAAGGTAATTTTTAACTTCTTCAAATGAAATTCTAATTTGTTTAATCTGCGTATTTTTCATAATGGGAAAAAGTGAATGGAAAGAATGTCCAAAAATTCAAGCAAGATGTAAAAAAAGTCAAACGGCGTCAAATCTCGTGACCTAAGCGACCAACTCTGATTACCAAAACGGGAAATTACACGACCAGGATATGACTCATGTAGTAATTGACTTGTTTCTCGGGCTATATGGCATATGGCACCGTCTTGTTCAAACCACATGTCGTCTACATCCATATCTTGTAATTTAGGCACAAAAAAAAACGGATTATCATGTCGCGATAGCGAGCACTGTTATCGCCTGATTAGCCTCATTTTTGAAGAAGTATGGTCCGATGATGCTTCCAGCCCAAAATCTGCACCAAACAGTGGCACGTTGTGGATGCATTTGTTTCTCAACGCCGCGTGGATTTTCTGAACTTCAAATACGACAATGAAAACGATTTTGTTCGAAAAATCAGGATCCACTTGTTTCATAATTCATTCAAAGAACTCTCTTCGCTTGACGTGGTCAGGAGGCTTCAGTTTTTGGGTCAATTGAACTTTGTAAGCATGAATATGCAAATCTTTCGTGAGAATGCGCTGCAGAGAGCTTCTCAAAATGTCCAATTATTGACTACGCTGCCGAACTACTTTCGAACTACTTCGCTGTTTTGTGTTGAAGGACAGTTTAAGATCACTCATTGAACCAGTCTCCCCGATAGTCGAGGAAATAAAACACTGAACCTCCGAAATCTGTGCAGTAAGATGGATCGTGATGCGATGTTTTGCATTTGATTCGTTAGAGCATCCAGAAAGTTTGTGACCCTAAGTTATCAATGAGAAATAAAAATTGCATCGGTGCATAAGAAAAGTGCATTTTCAAATTTGCACTCGAAGAGTTAAAATATGAAAAATAACTCGGGAAATATTGACGGAAATGAGTTCAGTTTTGTTACTCGGGGGTTTTCGAGGTCGCTGAACATGAATATCATGACGGCAACGGTCTTCGAGGTACCTAGTGCCCAGGGTGGCCGGTTTCCACGTCGTCTTCTGGAGTTTTGTGGAAATTCGTTATAAACTTAGCTGAAACTCGTAACCTTGGGGTATTTGGGGTCGCTCAGCACGAATATCACAACGATAATGGTCTACGAGGTACCGATGTCATCTTCATAAGCTTTATCAAATATCTAAATAAATTATCCGACATTTTTTTTTAATTTGGCGCTATTAATACAGTTGGTAGCATTGATGAAATTTTAGATAAGGACTGCGATCACTGGCCACTGCTTCCACATTTTACTCTTACATAATATACTAATATATACTCTTACACATACTAGTATATACAGATACGCTCCAAGTTATAGCGCACACGTGAAATAAGAAAAATTAAAATTGTAAAGATATCTAAGTATAATATTTTTTTGAAAACATGTATTTTTTGTAATGAATAAATTTTTTTTATAATACAAAATAATTTTAAGAATAAAATAGTTGTCACAGAAACCAGCCATCCTGGGTGCTAGGTACCTCGAGGACCGTTACCGTCGTGATATTCGTGTTGAGCGCCCTTTCTTTTAGGCATCAATTATACAAACCCGTAGTATGTCCCGATATTGGGACACCCTGATAGGTTCTGAAACATTTAATATAAAAGAAATGTGATGTTTGAATACGATTTATAAGCAATGTCCCACAAATTAAAATGATTTCTTTGGTACAGATTATAACAGCAATTGTTGATGTTTCGTTCCAAACTTGACAAATACTATATCAAATCCCTTTGTGAATATATTTTTATCCTTCAATTTTATGGGCGGCACGCGGCGGCTATGAAGGGAATTCTTTAATGACCCATTCAATTTTGTAAAATACCTCCTTATTGTCAATTTATAGTAAATTTGCTAGATTTTTTTAATATAACAGAGGAGTAAATAAATTCAGTTCAAAAATTAGATATATCTAATACTCCCTCAAGTACATAACTTTATATCATATCAAACTTCAGTTTGATACTAAAATAATTTTGGAAATTTGTCCAAGTTGTAATTACTCACAATAAAAGTGGCATGGTGCAATCTCAACAAAAATATTACTTTTTAAAAATATATTCAGTGCCTTGTCAACGCTTTAGCAAAAGCATTATCTTCATTTTTGTTAAGACTCAACTAAACTAATTGACACAGTGGATTGACAAAACATTAAAAGCTTTCCTAAGTATATAATGGGGATTTAAATCTAATGGGGAATATTTAGTATACAAACAAAAAAGTAAATGCAATATTAAGCTAAAAGTGGCATTTGGAATGTGTTAACAAGTTATGCCTCTCAAACCCAACAGAAAAAAAAGATGTAATGGAACTTCGGTAGTATACTCCGAACTAAACAGTGTGGCAAGTGCTCTTGAAACCGTTACTAGAAATTCATTTATTTTATTATTTACCTATACTAGGTAATTTATTTGTGTGGCTCGCTATAAGAATGGAAAAGCTATAAGAATGGTAAATCGCGGAGATAGAAATATTAGAGACTAAAATATTTGGTCAAACATGCTTTAATACAAATATTGATGCTTTGAGAGATACAAGCTATTGAACATTTTATTTTAAAATTTCTCAATAATTTGGTAGCATCAATTGTTTTTTTGGCAGGACAAATAACAAATTTCGATTAATTTTGGCTTTATTCATAAAAAGCGCTGGCTATATATGCTATGCTATTCAGGGAACGAAAATTAGCAACTTTTATTAAGCCACTGATGAGCTAAATCATTACGTTTTAGACTGAAAAAAAAATCACATGAAGGTTTAAACAAATTTAGTGTCTGGTCCATGGTGTGGCATGCGGCAGCCAGCTGTACCTTTCATATCGAAGCTGCCGCGCGCCGCAGTATGAAAGTGCTGATAGCGGTTTTAACGGTTTAAATTCTGTGTTCGAAAATTTATTCAAATCTCGTTTAAAAGTATGAAAAATCAAAAATTAAACAAACAAACGAATTACTTAAATTACTTACCAATAGACGATATGCTCTACAAAAATTATTCAAAGTTGTTTCCATGTGCTAATAAACATGCTTCCAAACGACGATCAAAATTCTGTCACCGAAAATAACACACCACTCATTTACTGAAAACCGATGCTGGAACTGAGATCTTTGTATGTACAACGTGAGGATTTGCATCACATCAATAGTGAATGTTGTGAAAATTTAGTATGCCGTCTCTACTAAAATAACAATCATCCATAAAAAGCACATTGCTTGTAAAATATTGTAATGAACTTTTTAGAAGCCCTAAATAAACTGGCTTTGTTAACTAAGGTATGTAGGCCGTTTTGTCATGCTGCAAAATAGAAATACAGGTATTTTAGGTTACAACTTTTTTTTAGGTCGTCACAATAGTGATTTAACTTTATCAACTGTGAAGAGATTAATTCAATTCAGGAAGGTTGGATCAATTAGTGATCTTAAACACTCTGTTTGTCCTTTAATAAGCCGTTCAACACAAAACATCAAAGCAATTCGTGAGTGTTGCCGAGATTCAAAGAATTGGACATTTCGAGAAGCTCTCCACAGCGTATTCTCATGAAAGATTTCCATCTTCATGCTTACAAAGTTCAATTAACTCAAGAACTGGTCTACTGGTCACGCAGAGAGAAGAGATAATTTGTTGAATGGATTATGGAACAAGTGGATGCTGATTTTTCGAACAAAATCATCTTCAGTGATGAGGCTCATTTTCACATTGATTGCTTCTTTAGTCAACAAAATTGTCGTAATTGGGGCTCAGAAAATTCAAGAGTGAATGCTGAGACAAACGCATCCACAACATGTCACAGATTGGCTGGAATTTTGAGCTGGAGGCATGAACCATCGGACCATTCTTCTTCGAAAATGCGGCTGGTCAGGCAATAACAGTTAATGGTGCTCTCTATCGCGACATGATAATACAGTTTTTTGTGAATAAACTGCAAAATCTGGATGTGAGACGACATGTGGTTTCAACAAGACGTTGCGACGTCCCATACAACCCAAGAATCAATTCAATTATTGCACGAGTTATTTCCTGTTCGTGTAATATCCCGTTTTGTTGATCAAAATTGGCCGCCCAGATCATGCGATTTAACGCCGTTGCACTTTTATCTTTGAGGTTTTTTGAGGTCTAAAGTTTATGCCAACAAGCCCACGACCACCCGTACCTTGAAGGTACGGCAATGTTTGTACTATTGTCTTATAAACTTCTACAATTAGTTGTAATACGAAGCAATATTTGTTTTTGTTTTTTTTTCTTCGCTGGTGGATTTAGATATACATATTTTTGGACTTCCTGTATATCCTACCACACGTTTAGAAATAAACGTGTTAATAAAAATTATTCTCCGTATTGTTTCACTCAACAACTTATTTACTCAGTGTGCATTTGCGCAAACAGAAATTATGATTTATTTGAATTTTTCCTTAGCGTGATTATGCATGACTTGCTGAATACATTTTTCCCTAAAAGTGCTAATTAATTTTGCACACGTTACGTAATTTCTTGAAAACAATTATCATAGTCAATAAATAGAACGAAATAAAGTCTTCATCTGCTTTCTCCGTATCAGTAGCTCCATTGTTATTGCAGCGTCGTCATTCTCACCATTCTGTTGTTTTAAGGGATAATGTCAAGAAAACAGTGGGTAAATGTTACAAAAATATATTTGTATATCATCAAAAATCCAGTACACTTTAATAATATTAAACATTAGGCAAATATTATTGGATTACCAATTAAAAATTAATACAATATCAGTATCGAAATAGTATTCGAAACATTACAATCCAAAAAAAAATAAATCAGATCTAGGATAGAACAATGAATGAACGATTTGGAATGTATTTTTTTTTGTATCACATAAGTTATTAAATGAAGATAAAATCAGCTGTTGATTGAATTTATGTAATGAATTAATAAATTTAAGTATTTCTGTGGATCTCGTTAATTATATAAATGAGATACAAACATTGGTTCAAAGATAAAAATATTTCGATTTATGGAAAGAATTACAAGTATCACTTTACTTCTTAGAATATCTTTAGAAACAATAGTATACCAGTATTAACTAAAAAACTGAAAGTAAAATGTGTATTACCTATAATAATCTACAGTTTTTTCTTTGTTTTTAATAAAATAAACAAAAAATTCTATTTGATTTTGTTCAAATCAAATCAGGATATTATTACTTAGATCTTACGCAAGTATTTCATACTGTTGACTGCCATGATAAACCACTGGACACTATTTTATTAATGTTTTTCCATGTTTTGCATTTCAAATAATTTTTCAAAATTAAAGGTGACTTTTTAGTACACCATGTATAATAATTGAAATTGAAAGCCATTTCAATGAGGAACAAAATTAAATTTTTAAAATATACTTAAAAAAGTTGTTTAAAAAGTGTACATAATTAATTATTTATTACACGATTTTGATAATCGGCTTTTCCACAGAAATATAAGTAGGTACATATCCATAATAACAAATTAAAAAAATATATTGTTACATATAAAAAGGTACTAAAATTTACTATTATCTAAAATATCTAGATAGGGTACAAGAGGGCAATAAAAAAAGGACAATGTTTTCAAAACTATTCGGTAAAATTATTTTTTATAACACTATCTCTACTTAACAAATATCTTCATCAAGAAAAGGTTGTCTAAAAAATAAGACTATGTGGTGGTTTTTATGCAAATTGTGTACATAAATAGAAAACAAAATTTGGACAATCATCAACATTTTGAATATTTTTTTAACTATTTTTTTCAAAACAGTTTTCAATATTTTTCAACAAAAAAAACGTTCCATATAAAATCTTATTAACTTAATAATTTTTCAATAGCTTTAAATGAATATTGGCAATTAGTGCAACACTTCCTATAAGTATTATTTTTTTCTTTTACCTTTATTTGACTAAAACTTAAATTTCCTGCTCATCTTGACAAGTAATATGGAAATGTTAAGTAGATTGTATTTACACTGAATTTAAAATTAATTATTTTTTTAATTATTAATATTCAAATCAAATGTGTTTATTATCATATTTAACATTTTTTAAATATTAGCGTGATATTTAAACAATGTTGTTACAAATTAATCAGTCAAATTAATTAATTGATTACTTACAACTAAAAGCTTACATAAAATGATATAAAAATTAAAAAAAACTCCCATACCTGTCTATTTTGTTTCCAAGGTTCTGAAGTATCTATGTAAATACAAAGAAAATTTTTAAACTAATGATGTTAACAATAGAAGGCACACTACTAGGGCATGATATTTCTACATATCTACTTGGATGGAATACGTTTTCGATTGCTTGAGATTTTTCAATATATTTTTACTACAATAAATACTAAAGTGACATTTCTCCGGTTATTAGTTGATAAAGCAGTACATACCTTGCATTTAGTTTTAGATACAATTTTTTACCCTGGACACACATTAATCTTTTGATCAGAATTTAAGTACTTATCTTACACAGAAAATGTTTATTATAACAAGCCTACCAGAATTTATTAAAAAACTGCTCCAGTATATACCTCCAATATGAATTTGTACCAATCAATAAATGTCCCTTCTCTCTCTTTTACTAAAGATGTTCATTTACTAGGTATACTCTTACAGGGTGCCTCTTCAAAAGAACTAGTCACTTTTGACTCACGAAGATACATATAGCAACTTGAAGATGACTTTTTTTAATATCTTCTAAACGAGATGAGGCATTTGTACCATTTTTGGTGCACGTTTTTGGTTAATGATGACTCATATTTATAGTTTCATAAAAAGAAGGATTACGTGGATCCCACTTTTTCATAGTTATCTAGATAAAAAATGTCAAATTTCTTTTATTTTTAAGAAATGTAAGTTCAAAGTAGTATGAAAAGGTAATGGTGACCGAAAAAAATTGGATTTAGTACCCCTTCAACTGTTTAAAATATATTCAAAATTGTTGTCAACATGTCATCTTTAAACTGTCATATCCTTGTAAGAAATCAGAATTAACTCATTTGAACTTTACATGTCAATTTTAATAAAGGAAGTTTTTCAGTGGAAATTAAACTTTTAATGGAAAATAAAAAAAAAACATATTTTCATTTAGGGAAGTCATGTTATTTATACATATCTCCAAATTTGTATTAGTTTACAAAAAATTTGTACAAAATACCTACTTACTGCTTTACGAGACGATGAGTATATGAGGGTGTAACCGAGGGTATAACATAGCATTATTTTGAATTCTGGAAGGCTGTATAATAACAATTCTGATTGTGGGTAGATATAGAAGTTGTTTTATAAAAATGGCAACAATATTCCAGAATATTAATTACTATAAGTTGTACTTTAAGGCACGTCTTTTAGACATTTGATATTAAAAAAAAACATACGATCAAAGTTGTCTTTTAAATCTTATACAGAGTTTATTTGAAAGAAATCTATACAAGCTTTGACAGTAGTAACGATGTACCTTTCATTTTTAAAAACAGAAAATCATGCCAGTATAAACGAATATTTTGCATTTAAATGTAATGCACTTTAAAATAACTGGCTTTATTAAAAATTCCACATCTTTCAATTATGGATCGAAAATACATAATGCACCAATTTTTTTTAGTTGCAAAATATTCAATATTTCTTATATATTTCTATGTAATACAGTCTTAATTTCATAGGAAAAATTGGAATTTTCTTATGGGTTCTTTAAAATAGGTATGTGTCAGCTTTATAATTTTGAGAACTACAATATACTCTCAAAATGTGTACAGACTTCTTGGATACCCTCTGTATAATACGGCACATTCTTATAAAATAACTTTCATAAGTATGAAAAATTACAAATCTGTCACGGGTCCTGACAAGGTTACCCGTGGAGTACCTTGAGATATAGAAGAAGTTGTAGTTATAATAGAGAGACTTTCGACAGAGGCAGTTTTTCCATCTTCTGAAATATCCGATGTGCTGATATCGTTACGCCGCAAAATGCTTGAGAGTTTCTTATCCAACCTGTATATAAAAATAATACTTCGGATGAGATGTTTATAATAATAAATCAAATTCTAGCAACTACTAGTTTATGAGAAAAATGGCACTTAACCTATGAAAAATTATGAACTCAAATTCATAACTATTCTACAGCGATGTTACAAAAAAAATCAGAAATGATTTCTCTTACCAAAGCAAATGAAAGTAATTATTTTCCAAAACCGATTCCAAAAATTGGACGCGAAACACAGTTTTCTTTTACGCATTTGAATATCAATTTCCAGAGATTTCGTATTGATTAAGACTTTGTTTTGTATGTTAGGAGCTAATTTCTCAACAATTAAAATTATTTGGTAATTTTTTATCCAAATGTGAGGGAATTTGTGTAAAACTTTAAAAATTATACTAATATTCGCCTATTTTCCTCTCCTCTCAAAAGACTCAAAAGTGTTAATTTAAAATGACCTGTTAAAATTCCTGAGACCACCAGGTATATAGCTGCAAAGATTCTTGGGTTATTGACAAAAACTGTGTGAATAACACAGTAATAATAAGGATTTTAGTCAATAAAAAATCCCCCACACAAAATTAATATAGATAATTTTTCGCGCAATTATGTAAAAATATCGCACGTTTGATTAAAATACAGATTATGTCTCACCAAGAACTTATTAAACAAGTGGAAATAATTTTGAACACTACAAGTTTATTAAGGCACTTCAATTTGCCTTTGAATAAATAGGTAATGTGTTAATTGTTTAATTCAATTTACGTTTATAGACAAGTATGTTTTGTTAATGACACAATAAAATACCAGGTCATAAAAACATATAAAGACAATCTTGAACAATTATTGTTTAATATTGTTTAATGTTTTTGTATTTATTTCGAACAGTATATTTATTACATAGGATGATTTCCATGGCGAACTAATGGTTTCCGTGGCCATTTTACTTCTGATATATCATAAATAAAGTAATATCTACTTTCAACCGGCATTCGATTTTATTAAATGCTTTTTATTAGTTAGACGACAGACAATGAATTTAAAATATCTCAAAATCTATTAAATTTTCGCAAAAAATATATACCGCAAAAATTATTTAAAAATGAACGGTTTTCGTGCGCACTATTTTCAAAAGTACCTCAGATCGAAATATGTTTTGGCATCACACCGCCTTCTTTGTAGCAGTGTTGGTAGTAACAGCTACAACCAAATTTGGAGCTATTTGATAGGTTTACCGAATCAAAATATCTCTTTCTGTTCCAAAGAAAATGGCGATGGGAGGTTTTAATGGGATACCCTATATATACTTTGTAAAAATTGCCACAGTTTTCGGAAAGAATTATTATCATCTATATTTAGAAAAAAAAAACAAATTATTATTGAGAGCAAAATGTTATAGAATAACCCGCGATACTCATCAAATGAGTACCTACATCAAGGTATCTAATCGTATAATTATTTCTATTGACATTATAATTACTATTCAACCATCACTAATATTAAGATCAATATTATCATTATCACTATTATTATTCTAGTTTCTAGTAATTTTCTTCTTTTGCCTATCTGTTTTACAGAAAATATAATGCTAGTTCATTAGCAGTTTAATTACTATTTTCCACGTTGCATATCGTCCCTATTATCACGTAGAGGCGTATGTGTATATCCATTTCTTGGATTATACGCCACTACGTGATAAGAGGAACGATATGTTAAACCATAATTATGACGTATATAATTTTCGTGTTATTCAATAGATAGAAAAGTGTCATATACAGGATTATTATACCATGATAGGACTTTGTTGAAAATTTGAATACCCAGGTTACTAGCCATGAACTTTTTAATGAATATACCGGAAGTTGCCACCAACTTTGTTATTTTAAATGGAACACTTTATTGCATTTTTGGATTCAACGTTAAATTTTTGGGTCACTTTGTATGTTCTTTTTCACATTTAAAATTAGCCGTTCTCAAGATAATGTGATTTTAAAAAAAATTGCATGCAGCACTGTTGGCTTCAAAAGTATATGCCTCAGAAACAGGTCACGCAGAAATCTTTATTTTTGGGTCAATGAAAGTAGAAGTCATGGGGTTCCTAACGATGTTTTCAAAATTAGCCACTAGAAAAATCTGATTTATCACCACTTTTCTGTTCAAAATGCGAAAAATCATTTAATGAAAGATCTCATTTACCAGCAATGACAAAAAAGAAATTTAGGCAAATTGAATCAAACTTTTTGCGTTTTGGGAAAGTTAACAGCAAAAAAAATGTTCCGAGTCCAACAGTTGATGAAGGAAATTAAATTACGGTGTTGGGATATTTTCATGCTTATCCAAATACTTCGATACCAACAGCTTCGACCGATTTAGGTAGATCTTCACTGTTATTTTCATTATTACAATTATTACATCATGAATATAATTTTTATTTCTTAGGTTTGCAAGCTTTCCACCCTGGGGATGACAGGTGAACAGAATTTTGCGAATTTTTACTCGTTAAAATTTAAGAGGGTCCGCAGTTCTTATGAAAAATCATCTGGACGTATGAGTCTAAGTTTACCAGAGACTGTGTAATAAATCGAAGGAATATGCACTGCTGGGCCCGTGAAAACTCACGTTATAAAGGAGGCAATCAGGATTCTTTTGATGTCAGTGATTATGGGACGACCAAGTTCATTACGAAATTTATAATGAGAACCTAAATAATTTAAGATATCTCCAACTCCTGAGAGGAATTATCACAAACTTCTTAGACAATTTCCCAATGAGCTAAATAGTTTTTGTAATCAAATGGATGGAGCTCCAGCACATTCTACCCGCGATGTATATCAAAAAGTCACAGGAATGATTGGTGACCGCTGGATTGGTCGTAACGGACCTTGGAGTTGTCCGCCTAGATCTCCTGATATGACACCTGTCGACTTTTTCCTGTGGAGGTATATAAAAAGCCAAGTTTACTCCCAACCCAACCTATTCCTACAATGGATGATCTCTTAAATATAATTAGGTTTAGTTTCTAGGGGCTCCAAAATTATCACCTTAGAAATGCTACTGTTAACGAAGTGGAAAAAAGAGTGCTAAAGTGCCTAGAACAAAATGGACGCCATATTTGTTTTTAGTCATAATAAGTAATTTTTGAATGGCAACATTCTTATTGTTAACTTTCCCAAAAGGCAAAAAGTTTGATTTAATCTTCCTAAATTTCTTTTTGTCATTGCTGGTAGATGAGGATATCTTTAATTAAATGTGTGGCATATACTTTTCTATGAATAAAGAATAAATTTAAAATATCACTATTCGAAATTCACTTATCCATTTTTAGAAACACATAAACGTCATTGAGTCTTTTTTTGATGTTCTGACAGGGAATAGCCTTTTGTTTTCATAGGTTACTATGAGTTTCTTAAACAAAACGTGATTTTAAACAGAAAAGTGGTGATAAATCAGAAACCATCAAGAATAACTATAGCAACCCTTGTATGTACTGACGTAGATTTTTCTAGTGAATCCAGAAATGCGAAAATATACAGGGTGTTTCATTAAAAAAACAGACTTACATACGTTTGGATTTCCTCGGGTTTGTTAATTAGTTTTCAGGGCCCTGTATAACACTGGCTAATTTTGAAAACATCGTAAGGAACCCCATGATTTCTACTTTCATTGAGCCAAAAATACAAATGTCCACGTGCACTATTTCTGACGCATATACTTTTGAAACCAACAGTGCTGATGCAATTTTTTTAAATGGTATTATCTTGAAAACGGCTAATTTTAAATATGGAAAAGTTTATTCAAATTGACCCTAAATTTTAACGTAGAATCCAAAAATGCTATAATATACAGGATGCTCCATTTAAAATAACAAAGTTGGCGGCAACTTCCGGTGTAAGCGGAAGTGCAACAGTTTCGAAAATATTTTCATTGAAAAGTTTATGCCGGTAACCTGGGTATTTTCAACAAAATCGTATCAAAGTAAGTTCGTATCCTTCTAATAAACCAGTTGTCTTAAGTGTTTCGCGGCTAATCGTCTCCGGCGATCGGTAAATACCCATTTCAAAAACGAAAATGACCGTTCAACATGTACCAAGATCACAGGGGCATATCTAAAATAGTCGACGAAGAGTGAGTTTGACGCTTTGCTTGGTCGAGTGTATAGCACGTTTTTTATGCCACTCAGTAGCACTGTGTATCGTGACCATAAAGCGGCACACGGATTGACCATAGATTTAGCCTTTTTCTGCTACTATTGCCGCTTACTACCATAATACAGATTACTACTCTTTATTTATTTGATTGTGCCACAAAGTTTCCTATGTCTAGTCGTATACGACACAAAAGAGCAAACCAGCAGAATTTAAGCGGTGTACATTCCTGCAGTAAAAGTATATAGGTTAAAAACTTTTGTTACAACGCAATCTGTCAAGTTATTTATATTTTCAGTTTTAATTGACAAAATCAATTCTATCCCATAAAATTCTATAGGTATTCTATATTTAATGAATGTGTTAGTAACTAACGTAACACTTTTTTTACACATGGTTTTTATATACATATTATGAAAGGACCCCGCACAAACCTTATGGGTTTGAGTTCCCGGTCGAGTCGTCTGAATTTTTGATACGTTGTACTTGATAATCCTGATTAAAAGTGTTCATAGGCCCAAAGTCCGGAAATGAACAGTTTTCGAGATATTGAGGCTGCAAAGTCTCAAAAAATTGGATATTTCCATGAATCCAAATATGGAAACGAGCACTTTTGAAAATAATTATTATCCATTTTTTATTATTTATCGGATTTAGATCGATTTGAGTATTCATAATATTTATCTGGGGTAAAGTTTATCTAGAAAAGAGGGGTGCTTATTTAAAATTCTAAAGATGATCTTCAAATGACCTTGAGTATCAAGTTCCAAGTTTGCAATTACCAGCAGTTAACCTCCTCTGAACCCTAACTTTTCTACAAGTCATATCTCACTACCATGCATCTTTAGTCCGAAACTCGGCCCACAAAT